TTTGAAGACTGTTGTAGGGATGTTTTTAGGATTACATTGAATATATAAATTGCCTTTGGTAGGATGTTCATTTTCACAATATTAACTCTACCAATCTACAAGCATGGGAGGTTTTTCCATTTTCTAGTCTTTCCGTCTTTTAATGTCTTCCTAATCTTTCTCTTCAGGGATGTAAAGTTTTCATTAGAGAGGTCTTTCACTCCCCTGTAGGGACAAAATAGAAGCCCTCAGCACAAGTGCTTGCAGCTACAGCTGACATTAGACAAAATACCAAAAGTTTACTGGAAAAAAGAGAGCATCTTTAACAAATGGTGCTCAGAAAACTGAATGCCCATATGCAGAAGAATGAAATTAGACCTATATCTATCACTATATTCAAAAATCAACTCCAAATTTATCAAAGATCTAAATGTGAAACCTGAAATACTGACACTGTTAGAAGGAAACATGTACCCTAAAAGATAAAAGTTTATGGAGGAATTTTTCTGAATAGGACTCCATTTACTGCTGTTAGAAGGCTGAGGTGGAGAGACGCTGTGAGCCACCGCCATGACAAACAGATATTAAGATACTGTCAAGCCACAAGCCACGTGGCAACTTATAGATTAGTAGAAGTGGGTTAATTTAAGATATAAGAACAGTTAACAAGAAGCCTATCATGGTCATATAGTTTGTAAGCAATATAAGTCTCTGTGTGTTTACTTGGTTGGTTCTGAGTGGCTGTGGGAATGGCGGGTGAGAGAGATTTGTACTGACTGTGGGCCAGGCAGGAAAACTCTAGCTACAATTTATCCAGGAAACAAGGTCATCAGTTGAGAATGAACTGGCACCTCATATAAATAAAAAGCAAAAGAAACAGTCAAGTGAGAGGAAGTAAACAGAATCTTTGTCACCTATACATCTGATACAGGAGGTTATTCCAATTTTTTTGTGTCTGTTGAGATTTGTTTTGTGATCAAGCATGTGGTCGATTTTGGAGAAGGTTCCATGGGGTGCTGAGAAGAAGGTGTATTCTTTTGTGTTAGGATGGAATGTTCTGTAGATATCTATTAAGTCCATTTGAGTTATAACATCTGTTAGGTCCTTTATTTCTTCGTTAAGTTTCAGTCTTTTGGTAGATCTGAGAGTGGTGTGTTGAAATCTCCCACTACTAATGTGTGGGGTTTGATGTGCGATTTAAGTTTTAGTAATGTTTCTTTTATGAATGTGGGTGCCTTTGTATTTGGGGCATAAATGTTCACAATCGAGACTTCATCTTGGTGGATTTTTCCTGTGATAAATATGAAATGTCCACCCTGATCTCTTTAGATTGATTTTAGTTTGAAGTCTATTTTATTAGATATTAGGATAGCTATACCAGTTTGTTTCTTAGGTCCATTTGTTTGGAAAGCCTTTTCCCAGCCCTTTACTCTGAGGTAGTGTCTGTCTTTGAAGTTAAGGTGTGTTTCTTGTATGCAGCAGATGGATGGATCCTGTTTTCTTATCCATTCTGTTAGTCTGTGTCTTTTTATAGGTGAGTTGAGACCATTGATATTGATGGATATTAATGACCAGTGATTGTTAATTCCTGTCATTTTTTTTGTGGTCGTGTTGTGTTGTCCTTCTTTGGTGTTTGTTGGTGTGGGATTATCTATTGCCTGAATTTTCATGGGTGTGTTTAGTTTCTTTGGGTTGGATTTTTCCTTCTAGTGCTTTCTGTAGGGCTAGGTTTGTGGATAGGTATTGATTAAATCTAGTTTTATCATGGAATATTTTGTTTACTCCGCCTATGGTGATTGAGAGTTTTGCTGGATATAATAGTCTGGGTTGGCATCCGTGGTCTCTTAGTGTCTGCATAACATCTGTCCAAGACCTTCTAGCTTTCATAGTCTCCATTGAGAAGTCTGGTGTTATTCTGATGGGTTTGCCTTCATATGTTACTTGGTCTTTTTCCTTTGCAGCTCTTAATATTTTTTCTTTGTTCTGTGTGTTTAGTGTTTTGATTATTATGTGGCGAGGGGACTTTTTTTTTGGATCCAGCCTATTTGGTGTTCTGTAAGCTTCTTGTATCTTCATAGGTATTTCTTTCTTTAGGTTAGGAAAGTTTTCTTCTCTGATTTTGTTAAATATATTTTCTGTGCCTTTGAGTTGGTATTCTTCTCCTTTTTTTTTAGATTTATTTATTTATTATGTACACAGAAGAGGGCGCCAGATCTCATTACAGATGGTTGTGAGCCACCATGTGGGTGCTGGGAATTGAACTCAGGACCTCTGGAAGAGCAGTCAGTGCTCTTAACCTCTGAGCCATCTCTCCAGCCCTCTTCTCCTTTTTCTATCCCTATTATTCCTAGGTTTGGTCTTTTCATGGTGTCCCAAATTTCTTGGATGTTTTGTGTTACAACTTTTTCGTCTTTAGTGTTTTCTTTGACTGACGAATCTATTTTCTCTATTGTGTCTTCAGTGTCAAAGATTCTCTGTTCCATCTCTTGTATTCGGTTGGTTATGCTTGTTTCTGTAGTTCCTGTTCGTTTAGTTAGGTTTTCTATTTCCAGCATTCCCTCAGCTTGTGTTTTCTTTATTGTCTCAATTTCACTTTTCAGATCTTGGAATGTTTCTTTCATCTGTTTAATTACTTTTTCTTGGCTTTCTTTGATTTCTTCCAATTTTTTGTTTGTTTTTTCTTCCATTTCTTTAAGGGAATTTTTTATTTCCTCTTTAAGGGAGTTTTTCATTTCCTCTTTAAGGGAATTTTTTATTTCCTCTTTAATGGAGATTTTCATTTCCTCTTTAAGAGAATTTTTTTATTTCTTCTTTAAGGGCCTCTATCATCTTCTTAAAGTCATTTTTAGGATTGGTTTCTTCTGTTTCTTCTGCCTTGGTATGTTCAGGTCTTGCAGGTGTAGAATCACTAGGTCCTGATGTTGTCATATAGGTCTTTATGTTGTTGCCTGTATTTTGCACTGGCATCTACTCATCTCTTCCTCTGCTCGGTGCAGGCAGTGTCTTTGTCTGAAGGTGCCTCTCTTGTTCTAATTTTTAGTATTGGTTCACTAGGAGTTCTTGGTTAAATTGTTGCTGTTGGGCTCTGTTTCTTCGGGAGCAGCGTAGTCAAATCAGTGTTAGTGGGTTCTGTCTCTGGGAGCAGTTGTTCCCAGTTGGTGTAGGGTGAGCTTATGGTTTCAGTGGTTGTTAGGTTCATAGGGGTTAGTTTTTTTGTTTGTTTTTTGTTTTTTTTGGGGGGGGGTTTGGTGGGGGAGCAGGGAAAGGTAGCTGTCTGGTCGCTGGGACTCCGATGGATGGGTAGGGCCTAGGGGTTAGAGACCTGATCTGTTGGTCTGGGGATGGGAGCTTACCTGTTCTCAGTCGGTGAAGTGTATACTTACGATTCTGGTGATCTGGTTCGGTGGCTGAGCGGTGCCTATAATGTGCCAGTCCCAGGTATTCCTTGGAACCTGCATCCCAGCAGGTTCCAAAGCAGCCTGCAGTTCCCTAGCCCCAGATAGTTCGGCAGAACCCAAACAGCTGGTGAAACAGATGTCTCCCAGTCTGCACCCCTCTCTTCCTTCCCCTTCTTCGACCATCATTCTAGTGTTCTTGGCCCCTCTCCCCAGACAACATCCCAATTTCAATAGGAAATAATTACGGAAGAGATTATGCCGTCCTTTATTATCAACAAAAGGCTAGAATGTTAGCTCTCTGGTCCTTGGCTCCTTTTTTCCCAACCTCTTCTCTTTCACTCTTCCCCTTCGTAGCCTGGTTCAGTCTGGATCCTTCCAGATGCCTCTGGATGTTTTCTCCCTCATATCTACAATTAACTTTCTCCTCAACCATACCGAGGAGCCATCATGTCTTTATTTTTCCATTCACTACCTCTGGTAGTTTGAATGTAATTGATCCCCATAGGCCCATACATAGGGAGTGGCACTATTAGAAGGCATGCCCTTGTTGGAGGAAGTGAAGGTGGGTTTTGAGGTTTCAGATACTCAAGCCAGGCCCAGTGTCACTGTCACTTCCTGCTGTGTGAAGATCCTGATGTAGAACTCTTGGCTCCTTCTCCAGCACCATGTCTGTCCGAATGCCACCATGCCACCCACCATGACAATAATGGACCAGACCTCTGAAACTATATGCCAGCCCAATTAAATGTTTTTTTGTTTTTTTAAATTAAGAGTTGCCATGATCATGATGTCCTTTCACAGCAATGGAAACTCTAATAAGACTCTACCCATGACAAGAGGATAGTTAACAGATTTCTAAAAGTGACTGTGTACAATTCTGCATTAGTTTTCAGAGGCACTTAAAGAAGTGCTCTGCCTTTTAAGCTGCTTACTAAAATTTTTATTACACTCACTATTTGCATTGTGTGTGCCTGTGTGTGGGTGGTTGCACGCATGTCACAGAAAGCTTGTGGAATTCAGAAGACAACTTGCATAAGTTGGTTCTCCTCCCTGTAGGTCTCAGGAAAGTGAATTAAGGTCATTGGGCTCGTGGCAAGAGCCTTTCCCTACTAAACATCTCACTGACCATGATGCTTCTTTTTCATTTATTTGAGGTTTCTTTTTCTTTTTTTGGTGTTTTGAGACAGGATCTCTTCCTCTACAATCAGGCTTGCCTGGAACTATGTACTGTAGGCTGGCTTTAAACTTCCTGTTCTGGTTAGTTATTTTAACTTGACACAAGCTAGAGTTATCTGGAGGCAAATAAATCTGTAGACTGGTTTTTTGTTTGTTTTGATTTATGATTGGGAGCAGTACAACCTTAGGCAAGTAGTTCCAAGTTGAAAGAGTGCTGAGTAAGCTATGGAGAGTAAGCCAGTCAGCAGCACTCCTTTATGGCCTCTGCTTTAGTTCCTGCCTCGGAGTTCCTGCTCTGACTTCACTCAGTGATGAACTGTGATTGGTATGTATATGTTTCTCTGAGTTGCTTTTGGCCATGATGTTTGTTGTGTGACAAAACGTTTCCCAGGGAGATGCAGCACACATGTTTGCTCACACGAATAAGGAGCCCACAACAGACCAAAGTACTGATACCATCAAAGTCCAACTGGTGAACCAGTGAGTTTTATTGTGGAGTGTGGATGAAGGACTACTTACAGGAGAAGAAATGACTCAAAGACAGCTGCATTACCAAGGCCCACCTCAGCATGGGTGACAGCTCACAAAAGCTGGGAAGCCTGGAGGGCACTACACAGCCTGCAGGCAGCTTGACAGGTGGGAGAGTGTCCTTTCCAAATGATGCTGGTCCAAACTAGGCAGGCAGTTCAGCTTCTCATTGTCTTCTTTGCAGCTTGGCTAGTCTGAGAGTCTTCTTTGAAGTTTGGCTTTTTTGAGTCTGAGAGGGACTCTCAGCTTTTATTGTTTATTCTGGCAGGGAGAGGGAGATGGCCCATAGCATTTGGTCAGGTTCAGGGACTTCCCAGCAAGATGGAGTGTTTCAGTTTCTGAGGAAAATGTTAAACGACAGTGTTACATCACAGAATAGAAAACAAAGTAAGACATTGTCTCAACACTGGCATGTAAGGTATTTCAAACTATTATGTGTTTGTAGGCAGTGGAATAAATAACATAGAGGCCTTACCTATTGTTATTTACTGGGTGTGAGAATGGACCAGGAGATAACAACAAAACCCACTTTAAGAGCTTTATTAAGGGGATAGGAAAGGGGCTAGTGCTGCAGGGCTGTCAGAGAGAAGTATACGGAAGGCGGAGGGAATGGGTGGAATCTGCTTTTAAGGATGACCTCGTGTATGCATATAGGGGTTTACAGTAGCCATGATGTGTGCAGATTACATAGGACATAAAGCCCTGGAGTGACAAAGCATTTTGCCTGAATGCTGAAGCAGTATGTGCAGTCATGGGACTCTGGAAGTGGATAGGAGGGTGTCAGGAATGATAACACTTACATATATCTTTTTATTGGTTTTATATTTATAGTTGTTTACAGTTGGAAAACCAAGTCACATACAGTAGGGATCCTTTAACACAGAATATTTATATGATAACTTGTTTTAGAAAAGAGTAATAGTGTAAGGTCCTTAGATGGCTCCACATGACCAGAAGACACTGGACATGCAATTGCAGAAAGCAGCTTTATTCCTAAGACAGAAAAACCAGCATGCCGGGGCCCCCCCAAAAACGGCGTTGACCTCTGGGGAGGGTAAGGCAGTCCCTTTTAAGTCTACTTAGAGGAATTCCAGTTGTGGTTAAGTGTACTTTGAAGTGATTGGGTATAGACCCTTACTGGTACAGTAATCATTTTTTGATTGGTTTATGACATCTGGTCAGCAACTGTGGTTGTGGTATCAGCGGTCTGTTTGACTGAAAATAGCAAGAACAGTTCCTGCTTGTGGCCAGGTAGGACCTGGCTTCTAGACTGGACATGCTTTCTGAGGGTCTGGTTGAAGCCAGACATGAGTAAATGGGTAATATGGGGCAGATATCTTAGCAAACTGGTCCTGGTCCCTTCAATAGCAGAGTAGATGTGCCCTATAACTCAAGTTTAAGTCACTGTATTGAGGTAAACTATGTATGTGCTTGCTTGTTTTGCAGGCACAAGGAACTGAGTTTGATCCCCAAAGTCCATATAAAAATTTCAGGTGTTAGCTGGGCGGTGGTGGCGCACGCCTTTAATCCCAGCACTCGGGAGACAGAGCCAGGCGGATCTCTGTGAGTTCGAGGCCAGCCTGGGCTACCAAGTGAGTTCCAGGAGAGGCACCAAAACTACACAGAGAAACCCTGTCTCGAAAAACCAAAAAAAAAAAAAAAAAAAAAAAAAAAAAAATTTCAGGTGTAGTAGAAGACACTTGTAGACTCACCTAGGGAGTCAGAGAATGGCAGAAATATGGGGTTCACTGGTCCCTTCTAATCAGAGACCCTGTCTCAAAAGTCAAAATAGAGAACTCCTGAGGAATGATACCTGAGGTTGACCTCTGGCCTACACACACCTGCTCATACACATGTATACATACACACATACATGTAAACAGACAGACAGACAGATGCATGCACACACACACAAATTTTAAAGTAAGTAAAAATCTCAAAAATCAACTTGGTCACCTTTTTTTCCTGCATTTATTTATTTATCGCGTGTGTGTGTGTGTGTGTGTGTGTGTGTGTGTGTGTGTGTGTGTGTTTTACAATTTATGGAGTTTATTTGACCTTTCCACCATGTGAGGTCTGGGGGTTCAGCTCAGGTCATCAGGTTTGGCAGAAACTTGTCTTTGCCTGCTGAATCATTTGTCCAGTCCAGTTCACCATTTCTTCATCTTCCTTTTTTACAATACATTTTTGAGTCTTCATTTTTTTTATTTTCAACTGACACATAGTAGTTATGCATATTTATTTGGTACCATGTGACATTTTGATAGATGTCACACAATGTATAATAACTAAATTAAGGTACTTAGCATATCTAACACTTTTCTTAGCTGGGGTCTTGATTGGTGGTTGATGTGGGAGGGACCAGCTCACTGTGGGTGGTGCCACCCTTGGGCTGGTGGTCCTCAGTGCTGTAAGAAAGCAGGCTAAGCAAGCATGTGGAGCGGCACCCCTCCATGACTTCTGCTGGGGTTTCCTTCCACAGTCATCTGAATTGAAGCAGGAATGTAACCCCAGAGTTTGAAAGCTCAACCCTTGACTGCTCTCGACCGTGTTTGGACAAAGCTTCAGCACCCAGGCTATAAAAGGAAGACAGGTATGTGGATGCACTTGCCAAGATTGGTGTTGTCGCTGCCAAGCCTCATGGAGCGCCTGCTTTGTTGTCTCTTTATGAAATACAATGTGTAAGAGACAAAATGGCGGGGTGGGGACGATTTGCTACATAGGCAGTCTGGCTTCAAATTTATATCAATCCTGCCTCAGCCTCCCAAATGCTAGCATTACAGGTATAAATCATCATGATCAGAGTCAAATCTATTCTTAAAATATTTAAAAATAAACTTTAATACTAAAAAATAGTTTTTAATTCCTCATTGTGTGAAAATTTCTCCACTAAGTTTGTGGTCATCATGTCATGCTGACATGAGTGCGTATACTTATAAAGAGGAGCAGTACTGCAGTGAGAAAGATTTTTTCCCAGACTGGGTACAGCATCTGCTGGGTGCTGAGACTGCCCCACTATGCATCTTTTTTTAAAATTTTTTTTCTTTTTTAATCTTTTTATTTCAAAAGAAAAGGTCTTTTTCATTTTACTTACCAACCTTAGTTCCCCCTCCCTCCCCTTCCCCCATTCCAACCCCCATCCATTCCTCAGAGGGGGTAAGGCCTCCCTTGGGTAGTCAACAAAGTCCGGCACACCAAGTTGAGGCAGGGCCGAGCCCCTCCCCACTGCATCAGGACTGAGCAAGGTATTCCTCCATAGGGAATGGGCTCCAAAAAGCCAGTTCATGCACCCAAGCAAAGTCCTGGCCCCACTGCCAGGGCCCCACACAGAGAACAAGCCACATATCTGTTACCCACATCCAGAGGGCCTAGTGCGGTCCCACACAGTTCCCCAGCTGTCAGTCCAGAGTCTGTGAGCTCCCACTAGCTGGGGTCAGCTGTCTCTGTGGTCCTGCGCCCCCCAACCATTATCTTGATCCCTCCTCCCTCTCTTCAACTGATCTCCAGGAGTCCAGCCCAGTGTTTGGCTGTGGATCTCTGTATCTTCTTCCATCAGTTACTGGTTATAGGCTCTGTGATGACAATTAGGGTAGTCACTAATCTGATTACAGGGGAAGGCCAGTTCAGGCACCCTCTCCACTGTTGCTAGGAGTCTTAGCTGGGGTCATCTTTGTGGGTTCCTGGGAATTTCCCTAGTACCAGGTTTCTCCCTTACCCATAATGGCTCCTTCTATTAAGCCACAATGCATCTTATAGTCTGCTCTCGATCAAAGTGTAGACCAATGGACTCTGATTAGAATTTTTAGGACATTTTGAGTAACAACATGAAAGAACACTCCTGATATTTTCTCCAGTATTAGAGATTCCTATTATTGACAATGAGAAATTAAACTCATTGATAATTAGACAAGCAAATAAATTGATTAATCAAAATAATTAATAAATCACTAATTAAAGTAAATAATGTCTTCTTTAAATAAGTTACTGTTAGGAAATGGAATGATCCTGCTTCAGGACCATGGTACTCAGTCCGTAAACTACTAGGAGTGTTGTCTGCCTTCTGCATATGGCTGTCAGCCAAAAGACTTGCCCAAAGCTTGGATCCCTCTCCAAGAGCATCCCATATTTAAAGATTAGTTAATAATAAACGAAAACAGCTAATTTCCTTGCTTCAATTCAGATGACTGTGGAAGGAAACTCCAGCAGAAGTCATGGAAGGGTGCTGCTCCACATGGCTTGTTTAGCATGCTTTCTTACAGCACTGAGAACCACCAGCCCAAGGGTGGCACCACCCTCAGTGAGCTGGTCCCTTCCACATCAATCACCAATCAAGAAAATATACCATTGGCTTGCTGATAGGCCACTATGACGGAGGGCATTTTCCCTCAGCAACTCTAGCTTTGTCAAGCTCACGTAAAACTAGCCAGCACAGTTCAATTGTTCCCTCTCTCCCTTCATATCCCCACTTCTCTCACTCTATTTCAGGTGTTGTCCACAAATGGCACATCTTAATCCTCCTGCACACAAATCTCCGACTGGCAGTTCAGGAAGTCCAACACAAGGCTTGGTATTGAAAATACGGTCAAAGTCTCTTCATGCCTGAAAATGTCAGAATAAATTCATTATTTTGTACAATTCGTGTATGCTAATTAAAATGTTTAAAGAAAACAAGTCATATTTTACAATGGGACCGGTAGGCTGGCTCACCTGCTACACAGCTATCAATGAGAATTCTCATCTGGTAGGTGAGTCCTCAAAGCACCTGACATGTTAGGAATTTGAATGGTTTTAGTTAAGTAAATAAACAAACTATAGGAAGTCTTTCTTTCCTGTGTTGACTTTCTTCTCACTGTAGCTTGGAGGAGACTGCCACCTCTAGGACACACACTAAAGATTGTGTGGTGTGTGTGTGTGTGTGTGTGTGTGTGTGTGTGTGTGTGTGTGCTGAGTTTCTCATTAACTTGGGAAATTGGTACAACGAAATCTCGTCTCCACCCCACTTGGAGTTTGAACCTATTCCCAATTTCTTCCTACAGACTTGTGGGACATCACAGGCTTTTAGCATGATCATTTAAATGACAATAAACAGCTGTGAATAGGAAGTACTATCATGGCATCCACTCTGAGAAAACGGACACAGAGAACACAGGGCCCACGGATGGGATGCGTGTGGTCCACATTCCAGGACTGACCACAGCACTAAACTTACCGGGACACCCGCTCCCGCTCCGCCCGAGCATGCGCAGAGACAGTGAGGCGCTTGTAGTCGCAGGGCGGCCGAGGCCCAGCATGCCCTGCGCGTGCTGCAAGATGGCGGCGCCCGTGCTGAGACGCCTGTGCTGCAGGCCCCAGTCGGGGGTCTGGCCGCGCGGGCTGCGCGTGGTGCGCCTGGGCGCGCGGGGAATGCTGGCGGCGCCAAGGGCCCGGGGCCTGTTCAAGGAGTTCTTCCCCGAGAGCGGCACGAAGACCGAGCTCCCCGAACTCTTCGACCGCCGCAGGGCGGGCTCGTCGCCCCAGACAGTGTTCTGCGGTTTCGACCCCACGGGCGATTCGCTCCACGTGGGGCACCTGCTAACTTTGTTGGGTCTGTTCCACTTTCAGCGAGCCGGCCACAACGTGATCGCGCTCGTGGGGGGCTCCACAGCCCGCCTGGGGGACCCTAGCGGCCGGACCAAGGGGCGCGAGGCGCAGAGCGCGCAGTGCGTGCAGGCCAACGCGCGCGCCCTGCGCCTGGGGCTCGAGACCCTGGCTGCCAACCACGCGCGGCTCTTCGCGGACGGGCGGCCCTGGGGCACTTTCACCGTGCTCGACAACGCCGCCTGGTTCCAGGAGCAGCACCTGGTGGACTTCCTGGCCACAGTGGGCGGCCACTTCCGCATGGGCACGCTGCTCAGCCGGCTGAGTGTGCAGAGTCGCCTCAAGAGCCCCGAGGGCATGAGCCTGGCGGAGTTCTTCTACCAGGTGCTCCAGGCCTATGACTTCTACTACCTCTTCCAGCGCTATGGATGCCGGGTCCAGCTGGGCGGAGCAGATCAGCTGGGCAACATCATGTCTGGATACGAGTTCATCCACAAGTAAGCTTGGCTTATTAGATCCTACAGAAATCCAGGGACGGATACTGCACCTTAGTAGTCCGTTATTCGTTATGAAGATGGTAAGATATATTGCCCTTGCGAGTTAGAATGTCTGAATTATGGGCGTATTGTAGAACTGTTGGAAGCAGACCACTTAATGATTTGGATTGTGTCTGAGTCGCCCTCAGTTTCTAACTTGAGAAATCGCTTTTGTTATTTATACCTGAAAATAATTGGACTTCTGTTTAGTAGTCCAATTAATTTAGCCCTTCGCCTCCATAAAGATTTTAACAACATTTTCTTGAGGAAGATGGAGTATAGGGCTGGCTTGTGTGCTACACGACAAAATCATAAAAACAAACAATTCTTTAAAAAGCACCTCCAAAATGTATCTTCCTAGTGTCCCTTCAGCCAGTTTTGTCTTTTTTCCCGCCTGATCTTTCGAAATCACTTCCTGTTGTCTTGCTCAGAAGTATTCTCGCAATTGCAGTTCAGCATGACAAATGTAAATAAATATGAAGTGAATACTGTTATAGTTCTTAAGGACTAGTGTCCAGATTGAGAAGGTTTTTTTTTTTTTTTTTTTTTTCTTTAAACATAGTAAGTAACCAGACTCAAATCTGAATTGTGCTTGGTGGAACTAACTGTGCTTACAGAATACCATGAATGTATGTGTAGGTTGACTGGAGAAGATGTATTCGGAATCACTGTTCCTCTCATTACAAGTACAACTGGAGCAAAGTTGGGAAAGTCTGCTGGCAACGCCGTTTGGCTAAACAGAGAGAAAACATCACCATTTGAACTTTATCAGTTCTTTGTCAGACAGCAAGATGATTGTGTAGAAAGGTGAGCTTTTAATAGACACCTGAGAATAACTAATACATAGTTATGCTTCAGTTTTAGCTACTGAAGCGTTATTCTTTGTAGGTTTTTAATGTTGATTCTGAAGGTGTAAATCATTGTGTCACAGGATATTGCTGTTTAACTGTCATAATTTTATTTGTTTATTTTTAAACACTAGAGTTGAACCCAGGGCTGAATGGCTATTAGGCAGGTGTGAACTGTAGACATCCCAGGCCTGGACAAAAAAAATTTCAGATGTTGTGAGTTGGCCAGGACAGTATCTGACTTCAGTCTTCTGCCTCAGCCCGGTGGTCAGAAGCTGGGATTACAGACTGCACCAGTGTGCCTGGCATCAGTGAAGGTTTTCCCACGCCCTTCCTTGTACATGAAACTACATCTCAGTCCTAGGAACTGTTTGCTTGTTAAAATAGAAACTACAGTGACATTTAAAACCCAAATTGTTTTTGCCTATGTCTAGCAAGTACATAGGATTGTATCACTTGCATATTCTAGGTTATTCACTCCTTTTATCTTAAATTTAAACATCCTCTCCCTTTGTCTCATCTCACAGATAGGACTCTGAAGTCTCTTTCCTTTAGGTTTTTCTCAACTGGAGCCGTGGAATGTGCCTGTGATTCCACCTGGGAGTCTAAAGGTTCCAGGCTGGCTTGGGCAACATTTCAAGACCCTCCTCTCCTCACTAAATCTAAACAGTGTACCACATATAGTTTCATTTGCAAAGATATTCTTTAGAAAGCCAGCTCCTTTGTTTTTAACTTAAGTTTTGTTTAATTTTTAAACATTGTAGTAAATCACATCTTTTGAGCCATGTAACTTAGCCACAAAATCCTGTAGATAGTTGTTGTGTAGATAACTAGTCATGAATCTCAGTTGTGCACTGTACCTTAATCTTAATAAACTCACTAATTTTGTTTCACCTTGGTTGGTCTCCTTAAGTCTTCTGTGGTATAATCAAGGATCCAGCTTTACCTGAGTGCAAATGTCAAAGGGAGAGGAAAACTTAGTTGTAACTAAGCTATGATCTGACATAATCTCTACTGGGTACATGCCTAACAGAAATTCATGCATGTGTGTACCAAGAAAAATATGAAGGTATTCATGGCATGATTAGCATATTTTCAAAATTAGACACACAATGCCCACAGTAGAGTATTAATAGCTCGGAAAGCTGTGCTTGTGACATCGTAAATCTCTTGCACATGGTGGTGTGTCAAAGTAGTTAGACAGAAAAATGTATTCTGCATGATTTTATTCATAATCTTGTATTTCTTAAGAGGATGATGTCATAGGTGTTTGCTTTACAATGGTTCATTAAACTTTTTCTACATATTTTGCAAAAGTTAACATATAGAATACTATTCATGTCAAATTTTAAGTTACATGGTGCTTTTTAAGGATACACATAAAACAAATGTCAAAGTATGCTTAAGAAGGGAGCACACAAATTATCTCTTGGCATTAAAAATGGAAGGAGATGGGGTTGGAGCCTTCGTTTATTTCTGTACCATTTTGTTACTTAAGGAAAGTAGAAAGCAAGTATTGGAAAATATTGTCTATTGGGGTTCTGTATGTCTTAAGTGTACAGCTTAAGCACATTAAGTACAATTTTTCATTCATAAATTCCAAAGTGAATGTAAAAGGTTTTTCTCCCCCCTAAGATAAGGGAGCTGGTAGATGCTATCCACCTAATGTGTCATCTTTTGCCCTGCAGGTACCTGAAGCTCTTCACTTTTCTCCCCCTTCCAGAGATTGAACACATTATGCAGCTGCATGTTAGAGAACCAGAAAAGCGGGGTGCTCAGAAACGACTTGCTGCAGAAGTAACAAAGCTTGTTCATGGACAAGAAGGTCTGGACTCTGCTAAAAGGTTGGCTTTAGAATAGTTAATGCTCCCAGTCCACAACACAACTCTACACTGAAGGTTCCGAGAACATCTTGGAAGAAAGGGAGGACTGGAAACTGGCTGTGAGATTGTGTCTCCTAGAAATGACAGGGAAACTTCACCCACATTACAACAGTAAGGCTGCCTCAACACGTGTAATACAGATAGGTGTGCTAACATGGAGGGGGAATCTCATGAGTCCCCGCCCCTCAACAAAGAACTACAGGCGACTAAGGAATGCTGAGAGGAGAAGTGAATACTCAGTGAAATTTAGTGGATAGACAAGAAAAAATTCAAGATGATTGTAGGAGTTTCTCATGACTAACCTGGACTGTATTTAACTTATTTTTAAATTGTCTTTATTGGATAAATCTTTAAGTTAGTGAGTCACACAAAATAGATGCTGCTATTGAATGAAAAACTATACTGTGGAACACAGTGGGCACTCCGTAATTGGTCGGGGAAGGGGTAAGCAGTCCCTGATGTGGTTTCATGTTTTTCAGGTGTACACAAGCCCTTTACCATAGCAGCATAGAGGCACTGGAGGTCATGTCTGACCAAGAGTTAAAAGAATTGTTTAAAGAAGCTTCATTTTCTGAATTAGTTCTCGACCCTGGAACAAGTGTCATAGATACTTGCCGGAAAGCAAATGCCATTCCAGATGGTCCCCGAGGGTAAGATTTAGCTTTCTTTCTTTCTTTTTTAAATGAGAGTGAATGTTTAACACACACAGCACTCCTATACCGTCTTTAATAAACATTGTCTTAGCATTACTTTTTAACCCTTTCATCGGCAAGTCTACAGCCCTGCAGTAGTCTAACCTGGCCTTGTCGGGGCTCCAGACTGACATTACAAGGAAACAACACCAAGCACACTGTAAGTTCCTGCCGTGACTTACAGACTTTTATCAAACAGTTGTTTTTTATTTTTGTTTTTTGAGTAACGTATGAAGAAGTTATCACCTCACTCCGTTTTGAACGATGTTTCCTGCCTCATTTTGATTTTCGCCACTGATTGGATATGGGGCTCTGCCTAAAAGAAACTGTTCCCATTTGGGGACATGCTCTTCTGCTGATATCAGTCCAGTAACAGATCTCAAGAGAATGCACTGCAGGCTGTGGACGTGGCTTAAGCCTGACCTGTAAAGATTTCTCTGCAGCTTCTATGTCCTACAAGAGACTGATGTTCCTTTTTGAAGCAGTCTCAGTGGCTTGGAGGAGACATGCCCTTTTTGTGTTGTGATCTCCGAAACTATTCATTTTCTGAAGTAACATTAATCTTTGTGATACTGTTTCTTCCTGTCTTTTAGAAAGGTGAATTTCTTGAGTGAACAAGGAAGTCATCTTTAATCAAAGCTTTCTGGCTCTCCACTTAATAGCTTCCTCCACATTGGCCCACTGGCCTGGGGGGAGGTGGGTCGTGGCCACACTGCACCCACCTCTGAGCCCTTCCGGGAACGCCTTCACTTTGATTCTTGACTTTCTGTGAGGTGCTGAACTTGACAGCATGTCTCCAGGATGTTTTCCGGATACTGCTGTCACGTACCTCATTTCTTGTAGAAGTTAGGTTCATAGAGTTGGAGATGTCTTGACCTCTCTGTAGAGGACAGTGCTCCTTCATTCAGTCCTTCACTGTGATTAGTCAGCTCAGGAATTTGGTCACAGAGAAGTGAGAAGATTCTCAGGACCTCCTCTTACTCAGCCTGTAGCCTCATTTGAGGACAGGATTTATTTTAAAATTTAATTGAAAAGAAATGAGCAAAGAAACAGAACTTCATAAAGCTTATAAACTGTAGAATATTCTCCTTGGGCATTACATTTTTCTGCATATTACAATTCCTCAGCTCTACCATATTATCAGGGAATACTACTTTTGCCCTACAAAAATGATTTGGCATGTCGAGTGTCAATTTATAACTGTACATGTTATAAATGGAACATGTACAAGGAAAAGCAATAATCAGAAACCCTTTGGTGCCTCACCTGTGGGACTTTGCACATAAAGTCCCTGTTGTTTGCCCATGGTTACATGAATGACATTTGTTACAGTTGCTTTGAATTGTTTTGAAATGTCTGCCTCTCCATTGAACTCTAAATTTCTGGGTGCAGACCGAGAGCCATGTCTCCTTGTTCATGGCCTGCCATTCTACCTTATCTATTTATTCCCCAATGTTTTACTTAAAATTAATTAAGTAAAAGTTTAAAAAATGCACTAAATTTAAGGTTGGAGTCTACAGCAAATCTGGGTTTATGCATTTTCTTGTTTCGCTCTGGTGTATTTGCTGATTAGCCAGTCAGCAGTGGTACTGTATTTTTCATACCGTAAATAGAGTTGGCCTGCATATTCAGCAATGTAAGCAGTCTTCCTGGAAGAAAGGAAACGGGAACATTTTTGTTGTTGGCTGGATTTTATAAAGCTGTTTTCAACAAGTTGCTTAACTTTATTTAGTCACACATGCCAATAAAAGAAAGCCACTTACTTTATTCACAGACTTTAAAGGCTCCCTCCCTTTTGCTGCTTCTCCTTGCTTGTCAAAATTACTGTCATCCAGTGTCTTAACATCTTATCTGACAAAAGTTCCCAGCCCTCACCTATCCAGTGTGCCCCTAGAGAAACATCCAGGCCTTCACAGCACAGCACAGTGCTGGATAGTGGTGTTAACATTGTCTTTAGCTCTTTGATGCTATTTATGTTTAGCACATAGTAAGTACTTCATTGAATAAATTGGATGTGAAAGTCAGTAAAACGTACTTCTGGTATCATACATTTATTAAACCAGCTATTGATTTTTCCATTTATGAAAGCTGATTAAGAATTTTGATACATTTATTAAACCAGCTATTGATTTTTCCATTTATGAAATCAGCTGATTAAGAATTTTGTTTTTATTCAAACAGTACTATTCATAGCCTTAATATTTTCCAGTTTCCTATTAACTTTTCTTAAAGATTCAAGTAGTGGTATTTGTTACCTGTATCTTTTTTTTTTTTTTAAAGATTTATTTATTTATTTTGTATACAGTGTTCTGCCTGCATGTGTCCCTGCAGGCCAGAAGAGGGCACCAGATCTCATTACAAGTGGTTGTGAGCCACCATGTGGTTGCTGGGAATTGAACTCAGGACCTCTGGAAGAGCAGTCGGTGCTCTTAACCACTGAGCCATCTCTCCAGCCCTTGTTACCTGTATTTTATGGGTAGCATACTTTAAAAGCAAAATTGCTTTTTTATTTTCAGGAGTTTCTTGTCTGGCAGTTTTTTCCCTCACAAGAATAGAAATTCTGAAAAGTAAATCTCCATTAAAAGCCATTATGGGGTGAATGTGTCATAAAGCTGGTCCATCTGAGCCTGTGGTGCCAGCCTGTAATCCCAGATGCTTGGGAGGTTAAGGCAGGAGGATCACAGGTGTAAGACCCACCTGAGCTGAAGTTTGAGTGTAGGTCAGCCAGGTGACCTACTGACAGCTTACCTCAAAAAGTAGAAGTCAGGTCATTTCAGGTGATTGGATGCTTCTAGTTATTAAACCTTTCTATTTTCAGGTATCGGATGATAACAGAAGGTGGAGTCAGTATAAATCACAGACAGGTAACAAATCCTGAGAGTGTTTTAGTAATTGGACAACATATTCTCAAGAATGGACTTTCCTTACTTAAAATAGGTAAAAGGAATTTCTACGTTATAAAATGGCTTCAGTTGTGAAAGATTTTCTCCAAAGATTTTGTCCATCATTCATTTTCAAAACATGGAGGGTCTTAAAAATCAAGAATGAAATATACACAAGGCTTTACAATGTAAACACCTTTGTGCATTTTTAAATAAATAAAGTGTTATCTAACTATGGTTTATTCTTATGAAAGATCTATCCATCTTGCTTCTTGGACTGATGAAGAAGTACAATGGAAATGAAGTCTATGGAATTATACATTACTGATTGCAGTAGTGTTAATATAGTTCTATAAACTAGGCAAGGTTCTAATTTGTTTCAAAGTGAGAAATCTGTTGGAAACAAATTTTTTGACTGATGCTAAGAAGTAAACAGAACAGAGAAACCCTGTCTCAAAAGCCCCCCCCCCCAAAAAAAAACAATTCTTAAAAAGAAGTTAGATGTGGCAATGGTTCTTAATAGAAACTGTAATAATTTTTTCTCAAAACACAAATCAGTACTAGATTTCATTTGTAGTTTAGTTTTCCACTTCTGTGCCTGTGTTTCAGTATCATTCTATTTACTCCTAATGGCCTATTTTTGTCAGTGAGTTCCTTAGCAGGCATTTTCAGGAACCAAAGAACAAAAGTGTCTCACCAAGTATGTAGTCAGGAGAACAAAGATGAAGGAAATCTTGAGGTCAGACTAGTTTAGGTTTGTATACACCAGGCAAGTTAATTCTCCAGACTGTCTGTAAAAGTCAAGATAGTGTCACGGGGTTGTACATAGGGAGCAAGTGAAGCAGAAAGTGTTGAACAGCTTCTGGAAGTCTGCAGCAAAGTGTAGTGTTCACGTTCTGAGCAAGTTTCTCTCTTCAATCTGTAGACATGGAGATTAACAAGGCCTTGGTGGTGACAATGTAACAGGAAAATGCCATTGTGGTGGTATTGTGTTCCCCAAAATATGTGTACCCTAATAAACTTACCCGGGGTCAGAGACAGAACAGCCACAATATTAAACATAGAGGATAGGCAGTGGTAGCACACGCCTTTAATCCTAGCATTTCAGAGGCAGAAATCCATCTGTTCAATGCTGTGGTATCGTTCTGTATAAATAAAACACTGATTGGCCAGTGGCCAGGCAGGAAGTATAGGTGGGACAAGGAGAGAGGAGAATTCTGGGAAGTGGAAGGCTGAGTGGGTGAGACACTGCCAGCCGCCACCATGACAAGCAGCATGTGAAGATGCTGGTAAGCCACGAGCCACGTGGCAAGGTATAGATTTATAGAAATGGGTTAATTTAAGCTGTAAGAACAGTTAGCAAGAAGCCTGCCATGGCCATACAATTTGTAAATAATATAAGTGTCTGTGTGTTTATTTTATAAGTGGGCTGTCGGACTGCCGGGGCTTAACAGGCCCCTGAGAGAAAACTCCAGCTACAGTTCAAGGATACAGCCAAGCATGGTGACTCACGCCTTTAATCCCAGAAAGCGAGCCTTTAATCCCAGGGAGTGATGGTAGAAAGGAAAGATATATAAGGCGTGAGGACCAGAAACTAGAGGCATTTGGCTGGTTAAGCTTTCAGGTTTTCGAGCAGCAGTTCAGCTGAGATTCATTCTGGATGAGGACTCAGAGGTATCCAGTCTGAGGAAACAGGATCAGCTGAGGAACTGGCGAGGTGAGGTAGCTGTGGCTTGTTCTGCTTCTCTGATCATCCAGCATTCACCCCAATACCTGGCCCAGGTTTGATTTTATTAATAAGTACCTTTAAGATTCATGCTACATGCCATAAAACTTCTGGTGCAATACAAGTTGACTTGTTAGGTTAGGAAGTAGATCCAGCTGTTTAAAAGATACAGTTATTTAAACCTTTTCCTGAGGCAAGTCTGGAAAAAGTCATTTATTGGCAAACTTTAATGTCATTTCATACCAGCAGCTTTATTTACACAGAAAGAACATACAGTGGTCTTATAAATATGCCAGAGATTATCTCCTGTTTCAGAACACAGCTCGGTGTAAAAGCACACAAAAGCAGCTTCTGTTTTCTTTGTACAAAGTGTGTAGTGCTAACAAGTACACTATGGTAGCACATTTTTAAAGCTAGTATCTTCCATTTAAAATCTATTTGAAATGTTGGGTAAAGGTGCATTTCCCCCCTTACAAATTCAGAAGGCTACAGTGGTAGTCATCTCTCTTAAGAAATAAATCATAGATACCTAATAGTTGGATGGCAGGGTACTTTTTTAAGTGCTAACATACTTAGGCAGTGTGCACTCAATGTCAAGCTGGTACTATTAACACATTATCATCAGACTGAAGTTGACCTTTTTGTGTTTGAGATTATTAAGTGGGTATCTTAAACTAAAGATAACATGTTCTTGTTTTCCTTGCTAATAATACTTCATAAAATGCCCTGGTATAACCTGAAAAGAAATTTTAATATTTTTGACACTAATGTATTATTTGGTTAGAGACAGAACTAGATACACCAAAGATTTTCACTTAGGACTGAAAAATTTTTAATGCTGTTTATACCATGAATTGCCCAGGCAATTTTCAGTTTGTAAACATGACCCTCAACCTCTGAATACAGTTTAATAGTCTATAAGCTTTTAGGTGTATGTGTATGTCCAAGTGTTTCTCTTTAAGTCACCAAGTTCCACTAGTGGTTTCATACCATTATTTGAATGTTTTCTCTTGGTATGGAACTAAAGTGGCCATTACTAATGTGTACAGAGTAGAATTTTAGGTCCTACCTCACTTATTAGTCTTGGAGTCTTGGAGCCCAATGCTTTAAGGGTGTATCTGAATTGCTGTTACTCTTACTTGGAAACTAAGGGAAATTTAGGTCATCATTGGATCTTTTAAAAACAAAATGACCATCCATTGTTACCAAGTAAATTCCCAATAGTTGTTTTTAATGCAGGAAGTCAATTTATGTCTTCAGGCTTAATTATGAATCGAAGTATATTTTAATTTTTAATACACGAGGGCAGTGTAGACTCAGAAGTGGATAAACCATTAACTACACAGCCTGTTCCTACATCTTTGAGTCTTTCAGCTCTTACACATTTAAAACAGCAAAGGTTATAGCATTTTGTTTTTTAAGATTATGAAAATGAAGGATAAGTGGATACATTGATTATGTGAGGAACTTGCCAAGCTCCATCTTTTAGAGCCCAATTGGTCTATATAATAGTGCATGCATTATAGTCATGAAATGTCCTGGAGCTTCCTTTCTGGACTACGGTTACAGCTTTAAGACTAATAAAAAGTTACATGGGTCATCATATCCACACGCAAACTGCTTTGTACAACTAGAATATCAATTGTTCTTGTAAGTTTGACTGAAACAGACATAGACTTGATATACATGTATCACAGGAAACTTTAAAAATGTGAATTAAATGTGATTTGTAATGCAGAGTATACTTTTCAGCTTGTATATAGCCAGTCTTCACACGAGCAAATTCATACACTGCAATACATAAGTGTTCATAAATAAACTTCTACTCAGGTAGGCAGTAGCTAGCAGGTTCAAGTCAACAAAGTCTGGGTGTTAAACAGTTCTGTTCACCAGAGATGAGTCTCTCGGATTTCAGCAATAATTTGACTGGCTCCTTGTAATGCCTACATTAAAAGAAATTAAAAAATTCAGTTACGGTGTTAATCTGAATTTTGTAAAGAAATTTCTCCATTTCAATGCTTAAAAAAAGAAAGGCAGTATCTTCTTTGAAATTTGAATTTAATCAGGCACCAATGAGTGGGAGTGGGGGACAAGATCAGAATGCAATTTTAAAATTTTGTATGTGTATATTCCAGGGAGACAAATTGAAAACAACTTAATAGTTACCTTTAACATATCAGCTGCTTCTTTTCTACGCTGTGCCATGTCCTCAGATTCAGTCAGAAGGTCATCTAATAAGGAAGATTTATACAGCTGTCCTACTAATTCACTCTGAAGAGTATCTTTCACATGATTAACCAAAAAATGCATCACTGCCTTTGGGACACTGCAAAGCAAAGTAAAATTGTGACACTTTTTTTTTTTTTTTTGGTTTTTCGAGACAGGGTTTCTCTGTGTTGTTTTGGTGCCTGTCCTGGGGACTCGCTCTGTAGACCAGGCTGGCCTCGAACTCACAGAGATCCACCTGGCTCTGCCTCCCGAGTGCTGGGATTAAAGGTGTGCGCCACCACCGCCCGGCCCAAATTGTGACATTTTGGTAATAATTCTATTGAAAAAAATTAAGACCAGTGGTTCTCAACATGTGGGTCACCACCCCTGGGTGGGGGTTGTCAAACGACTCTTTCACAGGGGTCACATATCCGATATTTACATTCTGATTCATAACAGTAGCAAAATTACAGTTATGAAGTAGCAGGGAAAATTATGGTTGGAGGTCACCACAACATGAGGAACTGTATTAAAGGGTCACAGCATTAGGAAGGTTAACAACCACTGCTTTAGACTTTAAAGAGTATGGCTTCGTAAAATAGTAAATATGAATAAATGAATATTTAATATACTTAGTAAAAGAGATACCTTCAAGTAACATTAAGCAAAGCCACAGTCCTTGATATTTTAGCTTCATTCATTTCACTTAATCTTTATCCCATCTATAAACACAACATTGACTATTATTCTTAACAGCCAAAACTGAAAGTCAAATATCCATAATGTGATGATGAGTAGACATACAAAATCTGGTATAGCATATAATCCAGTATTATAGTCAACTGTAAAAAGCAAGTGCTGATCCATACTATAGTATGAACAAGCTTTAAAACACACTGTCAAGTAGATTAGATTTAAGGCCCACTCTACAAGACAAATCCCATACCTGGCACCATTACTGGGCCAAGAACCTCTGGCTGCTAGACAGGTCAAAGACCTTAGAAGAGAACCTACCACTATTATACTAAATGGATATAGTATTAAACCAGTTCATAATGACCTATCATGATACTCATCTTGTTTGCTGTAGATGGTGGTTAACATAGAGACCCACAAGTGGCCAAGATGCAGAGAATAAGACATTACACAATATTCAGCCCTAAATAGCGCACCTATATCTCTTCCCAAGGGTCAAGGATCACTGTGGAAGGCGTGGTGGATGACAAGGAAACTTTTCTGGACACAGCAGGGCAGCTGCAAATACGAACTCAGCAGTTGTGACAGCATGTACAAGACTAGTGCT